AGATTTCTATTTGCTTTATTTAATAACTGATTGTTAATTTTAGATTCTACTTCCTTTATTTTTTTCACCAGTTTCTTTAACCCCTTAAGGACACATGACATGTGTGACATGTCATGATTCCCTTTTATTCCAGAAGTTTGGTCCTTAAGTGGTTAAAAGAGCAATGTAAAGCTCCGCCAGGGATTCCTCTCTATTTTTTCTCATTTAGGCATCTAATTTTATTAACTGACCTCTAATCACACATTTAAGTGCACACAATTTTGTCATAATAGAGACTCCACACTCTTTATTATCCTCAAAATATAGTGATATTGAATCTGCTATATGTTTTCTATTTGCCTCTGGCAAGAGTATTCTGTCATGTAATTTCCAATCAGGTCTCTGTTTATTGAATTGTTGTTACAGTTCTAACAGTACAGTGTCATGAGCAGACCATGGAACCAGCCTTATCTCTGAGAACCCAGTCCTGGTCAGTACTCCGGCATCTGCTAAAATCATATCTATGCGCAAAAACATGCAATGGGACTTAGAAAAACATGTAAAATCTCTCTCTTTAGGGTGTAATGTCCTCCAAGTATCTAATAAGGATGCTCTTAGAATTAGCTGACGATGTTTCCTAGCTCGATTAATAAGATTATTTTCTGTCTTATTCTTCCGTCTTGTTTTTTTTTTAACTAACGAAGGATCCTGTGCCCAGTTAAAATCCCCAGCAATAATGACTGATCCCTGACTGATCTTATCCAATCTAGACAAAAACTTAGCGATGAAACCCACTAGAGAATGATTTGGCGCATACATATTTGCTACAGTGTATACCAGGGACAACCTTTGAAACTCCAGATGTTGTGGACTACATCCCCCATAATGCTCTTACATCCATAATGCTGGCAAAGCATCATGGGAGGTGTGGTCCAAAACATCTGGAGTGCCGAAGGTTGCCTATGCCTGGTGTATACAATCCCTTCTATCTCGCAAATCAAAATTATCCACCTTCCTTCTGTTTCTATGTCTTGGAATTTGATTATCAGATTTATATTTTTAGAGAATATTATGAGTCTAGTTAGGAAACCCCATTTATAGCGGATATTGTTGTTCCTTAAGATTTTTGTATAGGGCGCAAACAATCTTTTTGCTCTCGTGTAACTGGAAAAATCTGAAGATATTTTGATTCTGTTAAAGTGGTCCTTCAGTTACGCTGTTCTTGATAGTTTTAATACTTGTTCCTTTATTTTATATGATGTGCAGCATATTAATACATCTCTTGCAGAGTGTTCCGGCATTTGACGTGTTCTCATAGTTTTATGACATCTTTCCAGTATCGTTGAGTTGGTGGAGTTCTGAATTCCTAATTTTTTAAGAAATTCTAAAACAAATTCTTCTAGTTTGTCAATAGTGATTTGTTACGTTATATCTATAAGCCTTGTTCGTCTGGCTCTATCCTCTGCATCCACCAGTTTTATTCCATTTCTTCTATCCTTTTTTTCAGAATCTTTTGATTCTTTTGATCAATTTTTTTCTCCAGTCAATTTAATTCTGGTGTCTAATAATAGAAATTATTTTTTAAATTCCATCATGTTGATCTGGATTTCAGATTTGATCTTCTCTAGTTGAATCTCAAAACAATTATTTAAATATTCTTGTAATGAGGGTGTTATTTCTTCGGTCATAGTCGTTTTGGTTACTTCTACCACCAGTTCTTTCGCCATAGGCTCAGTATCATTTTGCAGTTCTGATTCTGCTCTACTAGATTGTGGAGGGAAGAAGGATAGCCATTTTTCAGTTTTATTATCAGACTTCTCTTCTATCCTATTAATGGCTTGCTTTGTATCTAAGTTTTTTTTTCGATGCCATTGTAAATTTTTGAAACAAAAAATAAAAAAGGAAAAGATGAAAGAAAAGATAACTGGAGTGTGGGGCAGCCCCAACAAAAAGAGTTGCCTTTACCTTGTTTTCTGAGTTTATTAAGGATTTTGTGATTTAAGGAGTGGCCGACGCTGTTTGTTTAAGAGGGCTTATTCGCTTAGCTATTTTTCCTTTTTATTTTAAGTGTATCTCTATATATGTTGATTTATTTAAAACAAATAAAATGTCTTCCTTATATATTCTCTCTTTCACCTAGCAAGAATCTCCCCCCCTCCAAAAAAAAAAACTGAAAAAAAAGGGAATTCTGTTTGTTTTAATTTAGAGCTTCTACAGATGCGCAAGATTTGCTCAGAGATTGCTTCAAAGCCCGGCTTAGTTTGGCACTATATCAAATGACTTTGCAGGACACCATATTCTTGGGGGCAAGATAATAAATGTATCAAAATAATCAGCAGCCCACCAACAAGTCACTTTTTCTATGTAACAAATTTATGGCTTCACCAAAGGCCTGTGTTTCCAGTAAGTTTTGAACATATTTTCACCTCCTCCCACAGCGGGTCTCTATGAACCTTGTTTCAACTTATTTTGTCTTGTGGCCTGGCTTAACGGCCTAATCCCACACCAAAATGGTGCCAACACTCAGTCACCAACAGACCAGATTTCATAATCAAGGACCCAGTTGCCTCTGTCTCCCTGTATCGCTTTCTAAAGAAGCCGAGCCGTCTCTGTGTCATTCGCTTGCAGTCCCGACCCTCCTTCTCATTCAGCTTTCTCACACTGCGTATTGCTGAGCCTCTCGCTTGCGTTCAATGTGCCTATACCTTAATGGTGCTGACACGTCAGTCAACAGCAGCTCGTCACTCTCGGCTCTCCACAGCCAAACCACCACATAGGCACGCCCTACGTCTGCCTCGTATGCCATCCCGACCAAGTATCAAAATTACTAGTTTAAAAGCTAAAATGAGCACATCCATGATTTTTTACTTTAACTTAATAAATGTAAATTCCTCTAATGAGGTGCATTGCTGTACATGAGGTGATATAAAATGATCAGAACTGAGGCCGAAGGTCAAAAGCTTTATGAATGTCTGCAGACCCTTAAGAAAGGATTAATTTCACCAAACTTACCGCAATGTTTTATCTATTATATTGCTTTTATTTTTTTGGTGTTTTTATTGAATTTGTTCTATAGCAGCTAGAATAAAAATATTATTAAATGTCATTCCAGCTGTTGTGGAATGCAATGCACAGGCAATCCAACACACACACTTAAACAAATGCATACATTGACACATATACAAATATACAGACACATGCGTAGACACAGAAACTCACATATGCTCATTTGCACTCATAGTTGCTCTCTTACATGGGAACATATGTATCCCAAAATACTCTATATTACAAATCCTTAGTTAAACCATTTATTCAGCAAAACAACATCTAAAAGTGGCCCTAGAAACGTTTTGAAACCATAGTGCCATTATGAAATGTGCGTACTTTGCAACATACTTTTTGGAAAGTGCAATATGAGTATGTGAAAGAACAGAATGCGTCCCATTGTCATGGTTGCACTATACAGAGTGTGAGAAACAATACATTCAAGCACTTAACGCAAGTATGTAACAAATTTGTCTAATGCAATATAAAAATCTTAATACTATAAAATGAAGGCAATCATAATGCATGATTCATACAGGGTATAATCTTATTTGATTAGAAACAATATAAAGGATTCAAAATATGAAAAGCTTTACAAAATATATGTTGGTTGCTCATGCATTTCTTTTAGTAATTTACATTTTTATTTTTTAATTAAATTATTTGATATGGTTGAATGTTGATTCAGGAACTGAATAAGGAGAATAAACCAAAAGGGCACAAACATGGGCCAATCAGTGTGCTGCAAAATATATATATATATATATATATATATATATATATATATATACACTTCATATAATATTATGCATATATTTTGCATAACAGTGATTTTCCAGGCTTTTAGTTTACAGTTCAAGTGGTAAAAAGTAGCCAATAGAGGTAAAAACAGGAGCAGTAAAAAAACAAAACAAAAATGGATTGTTTAGATTTCCACAAGATTGTAATACAGAAACTCTGTGGAAATACACAAGGCAAGCATGGTTGGGGCAGCAAAAATGGGTACTAAATGTAGCAAAGACAGTGGGGTTTTAGCAACACATATAATTTATAAAGTTAACCCCTTTGCGACGCTAGATGAAAATTTTCCGTCATGCTTATCCTAACATTTAAGGTGCAATACAGAAAATTTCCATAATTTACTAAAGTTAACGCTCCTCCAGTCTGCCGAGGCAGACCGGGAGCACCCAATCGGGCTTTCCCTGTAGCTGTGATCGCTCTGACAGTCTATCAGAGAAGGCACATTTGCTGCAGGGACTCCCGGTCCGCCTCCCTGCGATTAGTGTGAAGTGCAGGGAGACGGATCAGTAATGATCCTCTTCACCCTGTATAAACAAAATAAATTAAAGTTAAATCTCACCCCACTTTATCCTGCTTTAATTAAAGTAACCCCTTCCCTGCCAATTGATCACTGACTACATTTTAAAAGGTATAACTTCAGGATTAGAGACTTGCTTAATATTTTTGTATGATTACAGGTATTATATAGACATTTCAGCAGGAGTATTTAACATATAAGGTAAAGCTTTGCCACTCGTGCCGCACTATTTTATACTATAGATAACATGGGTAAACCTGGGGCACAAAACACGGTTTATCAGGCTTAAGTGTTATGTCTGAGTGCAGCACGCTAGATTGGTGCCTACTAGTAGTGTAGTACCAGGCAGTTGATACTTATCAGGACATGTACACTATGGGAAGAGCTTTTACGAGAGGGGCAACCAAGGGGAACATCGTACTGCCGCAGGTCAGTCACCTCGGCAAGGGTAGCAAATCAGAGGCTGCAGCCAAAATGTACTGTTAGGGTAAGTGATCCTCTGAACGCAGGCTGCCTATCCTGTTCCCATTGCGGTCAGGCAGAGTCCGGGAAATTACCAAACGATAAAGCTAATGAGTTAATGTTGCAACAGAAGATTCAAGTCATGTATTAATACTGTGCTGGTATTGGTCGCGGGTCTCCGGCCTTTGGTGGGCACCTCTTATGTTCAGGGGATGCGGTGGTATCTCCCTGCGTCGTCTTGTGGGGCAGCGGCAGATGCTGGGCTTTATGCTGGTGAGGTTGTTTCATTTGTGGTGTCAAGGGTCCAGGCTGTAGTGATGTGCTGTTGCCGGCTGAAGGCAGGGTGGGTGGCTGTATGTCTCGGTCCCTCATGCCTGTCAGGTGGGCTCTATATGGCAGCTTTGGGCGGTTAGTGTCCCTTTGTCTCTTCTGTTTGGCCACCTGGCCCCTTTGTCGTTGGTTTGCTGCAACTTGTGGGGGCCGCGTGTGCAGACGGCCTTGTGGTGGGTGAGGCCTATGCGTAGTTGCAGTGCCCGCACCCGTGGTGTTGCCAGTGTGGGTGGGCGCCTTGGCTGCGCATGAGGTGGTGCCATTGGGTGAAGTGCCATTGGTATCGGTTTCGGGGCAGGAGACTGGTTCTTTTCCTCCATGCGCTCCCAGAATCTTTGGCATACGGCATCAAATTTGGCCTGGAAGGCCGCTGCCCAGTCGCTGGTGGCTCTTTGCTCTGGGTGTACTGTGCTGCCATCGGCCATCTTGGATGGGCCTCGTGGGATGGCTCAGTTGGGGTTGCGCCCCAGATGTGAGTGCTCCCCTTGGGCGGGTGGACCGGAATGACCCCCGCCGGTCCAGATGGGGGGGGGGAACAGAGGCCCTTATGCTCCGAGACTGCTAGTCTTGGCGGTGGGAGGGCGACCGTCCCTCCCACGCTCGCCATGTGAGTAGGCCCCAGTCACCGGATCGGTGAGTTTTGCTCATAGTGTCGCTTGTGGGGTGTCATTACGCTCCATCTAGTGTCCCTTTTTGGTCGCTGGCCTTTGTGGCCCTCTTAGTTGCTTTTGGGATGTGAGATTCGGTTTTTAGTGTCTCTTGGTGCAGGAGCTCTTGAGATTCACGTCCTCCTGGCTCTGCAGTCAGGTCCCGCCCCTCCACTGACAACATTTTAATCCCTGAGGGTGAACTTTTAAAAGTTAAAAAAAAGCTTTAAAAAGTTAAAAAAGTTTAAAAAAAGTTTTAATAATGCTTAAAAAATGTTTTTAAAAATCCCACCATACCCAGTCTCAATAAAAATTAACCCCTTCCCTGAGGGTTAACATTTATTTATTTTTTAACCCTCAGGGGTTCAATTTATTTAATTTATTGTTTTAAATATTTTACAATTATATATTTTGCTAGCTCGGGTGGGTTGGAGTTATGGGAAATTGGGGAATCTACTGTTAGTGCTGCTTACTGCTAGTTAGGTTAAAAAAAGTTAATAGAAATTTTAAAAGTGTAAAAAGTGTTTTAAGAAAGTTTTAAAAGATAAAAAAAAAGTTTAAAAACGAGTTTGAAAAAGTAAAAAAAAGTTCAAAAGAGTAAAAAAATACATACAAATATGCTCATTACCACTACACCTAGAATAAACTAGCGAAAAAATGATCCCACACTAAGGTTCAAAATATGCATTTTGAAATATCCTAGGGTGTATTGTTTAAAAAATGGTATGCGTTTGTGGGGTAGTTTGAATAACCAACCAGCTAAACTACTCCAAAATGGAACACGGACACAGCGTAAAACGTCAAAGTTAGAAAAAAACTGAATGGCTGCATCTCAAATGTGCCTCTTTTAACATCCATATGTACCTGGCAAAGGTACATACGGGGGTATTCCTATACTCCGGCGGCATAGCTGAACAACCTATGAAGTGTATTACTGCCATAGCACACATAAGGTTTGAAAAATGTACAGTAGTAGCTCACTGTGTGCGTCAAAAATGCAGAAAGAAATGCTTATTACCACCACACTTGATACAAAAACAACAAAAAAATTGTCCCACACTAAGGTTCAAAATATGCCTTTTGAATTACCCAGGGGTGTATTCTTTAATAAATAGTATGTATTTGTGGGGTAGTTTGAATAACCAACCAGCTAAACTACTCCAAAATAGAACACGGACACAGCGTAAAACGTCAAAGTTAGAACAAAACTGAATGCCCCTTCAACATCCACATATACCTGGCAAAGGTACATACAGGGTATTGTTGTACTTAGACGGCATAGCTGAGCAACATATGAAATATTATACAGCCGTAGCACTCATATGATTTGCAAAATATACTGTGCAAACTCACTTTGTGTGTCAAAAAGGCAGATAAAAAGCTTATTACCACTACACATGGTACAAGCTAGCAGAAAAATTATCCCACACTAAGGTTTAAAATATGCCTTCTGAAATATCCTGGGATGTCTTCTTTAAAAGACATGTGCATCTTTAATAGACATGTGCATTAGTTTTGGTCCGAAAACGATTTCATCCAAAAATTCATGTTTTTTGGTATTTGTTTACTAAAATGTAAATGAAAACCCTACAAACTAAATATAAACCAAAAGAAAGGGCAAATGCTGAATGTATTACCTTTTCGTTTTGTTTAGTTTGTTTAATAGACTCCGAGCTGCAGGGGAAATAAAAATAAAAATAAAAGAGGGAGCCAGCAGAGCTACTAGTTCCCTCCTTGTAATAAATATTAATAAAAACCTTCCCCCCCACCCCTGCATTAAAACCTATGAGCGTCACTATGACCCCCATGTTGATAAAAGGGAGGTTACATCCTCCTGCATGTCCCTACTCGCGGCATGCAAATTTGATTTCAATTTTCTAATGCTGTGTAATTTGACTCATATCACTGTGATTGGTTGCTTTTCAATTTGAAAGGCAACCAATCACAGTGTTTTGAATCAAATTACACAGCAAATTACACAGCATGGGAAAATTTCAAAGAACTTTCCCACACTGTGTAAAATGACACAGAGCACTCTGAATGGTTGGATTTCAAGCCAACCAATCAGAGTTCTGTGACAGATAAATGTAGAGACTTACCAGTCAATCTCTTCATTTACCTGTCAGAGCACTCTGATTGGTTGGCTATAACTTTTGGTCATATGTACTCTTACAGTAGCTCTCTATCACTTCTATATAAAATACTGATTTATTTACATCCAGTTTTAAATGACAGCGAGCAGCCACTGCAGTAGGATTTAACCTGTGCCAGATCCCCCCGTATTACTAGTAGCTGCCCAGTCACTAGTAGTTTTAAATTTGTTTAGGAGACATGCCCCTAGTCTTAGTCATAGTGACCCCATACTGATTTATATTAAGTTTAAATGACAGTGAGCAGTCACTGGTTGCTCGCTGTTTAGGTGACATGCCCCTACTCACGGCATGTGGGAAGATTTAACCTCTCTTTTATTAATATGGGGGTCATAGCGGTGGGTGGGGGGAGGTGGGTTGGAATTAATATTTATTACAAGGAGGGAGCTAGTTGTGCTGCCGGCTCCCTTCTTGCTTTTTTTGGGGGGGGGGGGAAGAAAACTAATTATTTTTTTAATGAATTTCGTTTGAAAACAAATGGTTTGCAGACGAAATTCGGGATTGACAAATTCAATTTTTATTTAGTACGAAATCATTGGTACAAAATGAAAATTTCTCTGGTGCACATGTCTATTCTTTAGGAAATCGTATGCCTTGATGGTGTAGTTGGAATATGTAACCTGCTAAAGTGCTCCAAAGTGGGACACGGACACATCAAAACCATCCATGAAAATTCACACTTAAAAACCTGTACTTGTCACGTCTCTTTTACAGCACTGTAACTTCACAAAATAGTGTCTAGGTCATACATTGGGCATATTGTTTTAATCAGAAGATGTAACTGAGCATAATGTGGGGGATTTTATGACAGTGGCACATATCAAGTGTAAGAAATAAACAACAAAAAAACATGTATATAAAAATGTAATTTTTTTCCCCTTCACCACAAATATTGACATAAATTGGTGAAAAAATGGTGACAAGTTAAGGCACAAAATATGCCATATAAGATACCCTGGGGTGTCTGCATAATTAAATGGAATCCCTTTGTGGGGTTATTTGAACATTCAAACTGCTATAATACCCCAAAATGAGACATGGGCTCAAATCCATCTATGAAAATTCTAACTATAGAAACTGAAATAGCCTTGTCTCTAATATGGCATTGTAGCTTCACAGAATAGTGCCAAAGGCATACAATGGGGGTATCGTTATACTCAGCAGATGTAGCTGGACACAATATGGGCTTCGGTGCAAGAATAGCACACACCAGCTTTACGAAATACATATTATAAAAAATCTTGTTATATGTTTGTATGATAAATAGAGAAAAAAACACAATTGTACTCCAATATTTAGTAGAGATTGGTGATTGCTAAATTGCTAAGTAAATTGCCAAGTAAAAAGTGTCAAAATAACCTTAGGTAAATAGCCTGTGATATCTACATTATATAAATATAAACTTTTCTGTGGCAATTTTGTTTTCTGTGATGGCTACTAAACCTACAAGGCAAATATACCAACTTCTAAAATTGTTTCACATTGAAATTTTATTTTAGTTCTTTCATTTTGTGTCATGTAACTTTCAAAATAAGCTGAAATCCTACACATATTATGTAGTCTATAAATCAATTTATTTTAAGTTACTTTTCGTAAGCATGCAAACACTTATTGCCAAAACTCTGAAAAAACTATTGTTTTTTTTGTTTTGTTTTTATAATTAATGAGTATTTATCTATGTAAATGTGACATCCAATTAGAGCCCTTTTTGCCCTTTAAAACTGGTATATAATATGTGTTGGTGCAATAAATAACAGAGACGCAAATTGCATTTGAACACAAGCAGCAAAAAATGTGTCCTTAAGAGTAAGAGAAGCTTTTGAAGCTTTGTACTTAAGGGGTTAAAGTAAGGAGGAACACAGAAAAAAAAACATCTAAAACAAGCAAGGTCAGGACTAATTCTAAAATAAAAATTTGGTGTACATACAATTATCAGGTACTCTTTCTCTGACAGCTAAAACATTAAAATATTAAAATCAACAACATAGAAACATAGAAACATAGAATGTGACGGCAGATAAGAACCATTCGGCCCATCTAGTCTGCCCAATTTTCTAAATACTTTCATTAGTCCATAGTCTTATCTTATAGTTAGGATAGCTTTATGTCTATCCCACACATGCTTAAACTCCTTTACTGTGTTAACCTCTACCACTTCAGCTGGAAGGCTATTCCATACATCCACTACCCTCTCAGTAAAGTAATACTTCCTGATATTATTTTTAAACCTTTGTCCCTCTAATTTAAGACTATGTACTCTTGTTGTGGTAGTTTTTCTTCTTTTAAATATA